TGTGGGTACTTGTTGTAGTACTTAGTCCAGTACCAATATGAAATTCTACATATTTGATGTAATTTCCTTCTTAATATTGGAAATGTATGGACTTTTTATTGAGCATGCGTGGACATTGTCTTATACATAGTAGATATTGTGTCATGCATCGTCTGCGTAACTTTTCATTTCTGTTGAGCCTTGGCTTGTGAAATATTGAAAAATGCATGAAGTTTCTGTTAAGCATACGTGGATATCGTCTTGTATATGGTGAATGTTGTTTTGTATATGGTCTGTCTAACTTGTCATTTTGTTGAGCCTAGGCTAGTAAAATATTCAAAATGCATGGACTTTTTATTGAGCAAGCATGGGCACAATCTAGTATATAGTAGATGTTATGTCGTGCATGGTCTACCTAGTCATTTTTGTTAGAGCTTAGGCTAGTAAAATACTTAAAATGCATGAACTTTTTATTGAGTATGTGTGGACATCGTCTTATATATAGTAGATATTATGTCATGCATGATCTATTCTGTAGCTTTAAGGGTTCGCGCAGGTTCTAAATTTAAATCAAATAAAGGGCAAATTGTCTTTTTGGTGTGAAAAATATTGAAATTGGGGCTCCAAGGCCTGCAAAGTAATATCAGATTTATTTAGGCCCAAATTGCAATAAATTCTATTTTTAAGACCCTTAATGCCATTCCCCCTTTAAACTAACCCTTTAGGGTGAACTTTCATCCTCTTTATAACATCCTAAAAATTTTAAGTAGGATTAATCTTGTTGATCATAATGTTATTGTAGAAATTATAGTTATGCTCAACAAGGAATGGGTGGTAGAAGTGATTCATATTCGACATATTGCTAACAATGCTAGTGATTTTATCACTAAGTTGCTGCTTTCTACATCCCCAGGTTTTCCAATTTTCTTGTATTATTAATTCTCTAAGGAAGCTATCTTACATTATAATGAAACAAGTTAAAGTGAATTTAATGATTTTATAATTCATTTCTCATTTTATTCTTGCTCTTCTGATATGCTCTCTGTAAAATATTATGCTCTAATCTAGTTATGGACTTATAGTTGGTAGCTATACTTGTTATTTTTATGTAAAAAATTTTGTTAAAGGAATGACCTATTAAATGAATAAAGTCTAACAAGCATTTTTTTCATAGCAGATTGCACAATATTTTAGAATAAGTAAATGTTGATTTGTGAATGCTTTCTATATCTAGGTATAAACTTGGTAGGTAAATTCAATGTTTTCAATACTTCAATAGAAATGAAGAGAGTTGAAGATTCATTGGATGATTATGAAACAACTCAAGATAAAATATAAAGAGTTGAAAATTCATTGGATGATTATAGAACAACTCAAGAAAATATTGAGAGAGTTGAAGATTTATTAGAGGATTATGAAACAATTCAAGACGCCTCTGATGTTGTAGATTCTGAAAAAAAATTCAAGACTCAAAAGGACAAGCTTTTAAAATATTAGAGATCAACATAGATGTGCCTACAAATGTGGGATTTCATTTGAATAAATTTCTTGAGGAGGCTGATAAAATTTTTGATATAAAAGAAATTCTAAAATCCAATATAACTGTGGTTGCAAATTTAAAATTTTACTTAAACAAATTTCATAATAATGAAGATGGAACTTTTAATAGAAAAGAAATTCCAAATGTAATCAGGACAATAATAAAAATTTACCTTCCCTACTTTGATTTTTTTTTTCCAATAGAAACTAGATATTATTAGTAAAAGCAAAATAAGAGGTGTAGAAGTGTGGTGAGAAACAAAAGTCTAAAAGTGAACAAAACTAACAAAACAAACAAAAATAAACAAAGAAAAGCAGTCAACCATCAACATTCTAAGCAGCTGGAGGTCTTAGGTCCATTATAGATGAGGAAGAGGTCTTCACATCCTTTGCTAGAATAAGAGATAAAGAAAGTGATGGTGTTTCCACTGACCCTATTGGGTTTATAGTCTTATAAGTAGAAGTAGCGAGGTGATCAGCTGTAAAGTTACCTTTATGACAAACAAAGGAAACATAAAACCCAACATAAGATGCTAAGAGAGCCATGATGTCTTCAATAATACCTTTGCACATCTAGTCACTAAGATTAGGTTGGCCTTTCTAAAGACTAGTAACAAGAGTAAGGCAGTCACTCTCAAAAATGATTTTTTGCATTACTTAAATCTTGAGCTAGCATGAGAGCTTGATGGAGGGCAAGAACCTCAAACATGAAAGCAAAAATTGACTTAATTTTATCAACAAAGGCCCAAGTGAAATCACCCTTATCATTGCAACAAATAACACCAATTGAAGCATTCTTGTTTGACTCAAAGAAGGCTCCATCGCATTTAATTTTAAGAATACCCATGGTAGAGTAATCCAATTAGAGAGGGAGACTTCATTAGAGGGTTTTAAATCCTTAACCGATAATAGATTATTGGCATCCAAAAATTCCAATACAGCCTAGCAAGAATCTTCAATAATACGAATAAGGTTGGGCTGAATATGATTTAAGATAAAGTTATTTCTAACTTTCTAGATAAGCCACAACATCCAACATACAAGAGCAATGTTAGAATCAGCTTGAAAACTGTGATATGAAATAAAAGATTTAAATCAATTACCAACACTAGTGATATTATGAGGATCAAACTGTAAAGATAATCCACTTCCTTCTTGTCAATGCCTCATTAGTAGCCAAGGCTTTCATTAAGAATCTCCATAAAAAATGGTTAATTCTAAGGATTGTGTGGACTTTCCAAACACTATGCCAAATATATGTAGAAATAGCAAAGGAAGTGCTAACTTTTTTCAAATCACATTTCTTTTTTCCCACAACCCTCTTATAGCCCAACTTGACAGTATAAATTTCATTTTTCACCCTATTCCAAAATAGTTTATCATTCATCTCAAGTCTGGATAGGGGAATTTAGTGGATAGCTTCCACTACATCAGATCTCACAAGGTTCAGGAGGGGTGATAAATTCCAGCATTTGTTATTAATCAAAGAAGCCATTCGTGTGTCAAATTTTTTAGTTCAAGATTATCAATAATCAGTATCCTACTAGGGAGAAGTGAAATCCTCTTATCTCCATATCCGGATAGATTTACCATCACTAACTTGCCAACAAAGTTCATCTTGGAGGAAATTCCTCTCGTCAATTATACTCGACTAGCAACATGAGGCCCTAGAACCTTTTTTTTGCATTAAGGAAATGACACTTGGGAAAATAAATAGCCTTGAGGGCTCTTACCCATAAATCATTTGGGTTGTGAATGAGACGCCAAGCTATCTTAGCAAGCAAAGCTAAATTATAGTTGATGAAATCCTTAAAAGCCATTCCTCCCTCTTCCTTAGGCTTAATAAGTTTGGCCCAAGCGATCCAATGGATTTTATTGCCTGAAGCACTACCATCCCACTAAAACTTAGAGATTAGACTATTAAGATCCTTGCAAGCTTTGATTGAAAATTTGAAGCATGTCATTGGGTATATTGATAGCATTAATGACAGACTTAATCATAGTTTCACATCCTGCTTGAGAGAGATGCCTTTTGCTTCACCCAAAAACCTTCTTGCCAATCTTTTCTTTCAAATAGGCTAAAGCTTGACATTTAGTCTTGCCTCAAATGCTAGGGATGCCTAAATATTTCCCTAGATCTGAAACAACAGCTATACCAAGAATAGTGCACACAATGTCATGAACATGGGTTGGGGTATTTTTTTGAGAAGAAGATTGCAGATTTTTCTAGGTTTGCCACCTAACCAGATGCCTCGCATTGAATTTTCAAAATGAACAATTACATTTTTTATATGAACAATTATATTTTATTTACCTTCCAAATTTAGGTGTGAATTTAAATGGTTTACTTGGATGCTTCACATTTTGTATCTTGTTACTCTTTATATGAACAATTATCACTTGATATTTATATATACAAATATATTCCTCCTTCTCCGTTCCTTTTTGTGCATGTATAAACGACTTATAAGTTACAAATTATTTATATATACAAAATAAGAATATTTGATATTTTTTCTTGGTCAAATAATATTTAATATATTTCAATTTAATATTATAATTTTTCTATATATTTTTTGACGGCCTGAATTGTTGAAAATATTTTACAAAAAATTCTTGCAGATAAAATAAAAGTGTCAATTTTACTGGCAGTAAAAAAACTGTACACTAATTAAATATGAGAATTTTTAACGGTAAAAAGCTGTTGAAAATAGTTTCAAAATTTTATCCACAGTCGGTGATGGCTGAAAACACTATTTTTGACCATATATTTATCAACAAGACTTATTAAAGGTCAAATAAGTGTCAATAAAACAAATATTGACGATCATTGATCCTTTGTTTTTGCAGTGTTTTCAATTTTTTATATCTTCCATGTCTACCATAATTAATAATAAAATTAATTTATATTTATAGCATGAACGAATAATTGAATTGCAGCACAAGTAACAGGTGGGCTGAATGACACTAAATATCCTTTGAAACAAGCAAAACAGAAAGGACACATAGTAAAAAAAAATTTATATTAATTAAGGATTAATTGTTATTAAAATTTTAAAAAAATTATATAAATTATTGTTAATTTATAATAAGTTGTTAATAAAATTTAAATAAATACTTATTAACTCAAATCAATAAACATCCACTTAAATTTTAATAATAAATAATTTTTAATTAATATAAATTTTTAGAAGTGATTCTTCATTGATATTTTCTCAAACAGAAATCAGAGTTAAGAAGGATGGCTGGATTGGGGACAAGCAGCAAGCAGGAATGAAGAATTGAAATGGACTTTACCCAGGGTTATGACACATTGAATGGTCAATGGTGTAGATGCATTTTGAGTAGCCTAATGACGTGGTGCATTGTCAGATTTCCGATTATCTGTACGGACAAGATTTGAGGCCTCGCAAGGACGTGCCGAAGCACGCCACTTTGTAGATCGGGTTCTCCGTTTGATGTTTTTATAGTTCATGGTTCATCATCCTCCATTGGAGCAGTTTAGCATTATACCAGTATGGCCTCTTCAGTTCTCCAGTCTCCTCACACTCGCTTCTACTCTGTCGCGCCAACACTTTCTTTCTCTTCTCTCTGTCCCGTTCGTCTCCGACTTCCCCAACTTCCTTCTTCTCCTTCTTCTTCTCCTCTGTCCCTGCGTAGCAGAACTCTGTCAAAGACCATTACAACCCCACTTGCCTATGTGACCGGACCCGCATCCGACCCCATTTTTAGTGAGTGCGACCCTAAGATAGATGGGTCGGATCCATGGCCGGAGAAAGTCCAACCTCCCGCCGTCATTAGCTGGGACCTTTTCTGGATGCTTTTGATGAAACACAAACTGCGGCTTGCCGTTTCAATTGCGACTCTAATTTGTTGCACCACTTGTACTCTTTCTATGCCCCTATTTTCTGGTGAGGAACGCGAGCTTCACTTTACTATTTTCTGCCGCTTACTGAGAAACGCAAAAGTACTGGATTTTTGTTTAGTTTCCCTCTCTTTACTCTTTTCTTGGTTGAGGTGCTGCAGCAAAATTTTGCTTTATTGAGTTGAACAAACTCCCTTTTGCTCCTTCCCAAAGCCATTAAAGTCAAACAGTTATAGACCGGACACTCCTTAATTTGGGATCATGCACAAGTCTTAGAGACAGGAGATGTGTTGCTTTGAAAAACGTTGTGTAGATAATAAGCTTGAAGATTTTTGAATTCATCAATTATGAATATTTAACTGTAGGCTATAGCATACCTTATAGCTATTCAATCAACTCTTAGCAGAAAAAGTTGCTATGGTGAAGACGTTAAGTTCTTTAGATTACATGATATAACCACTAACCAGTATTTATTTGGGATGGGAGACAGCTTTCACTAATTAGTAATTTTTCAGTTAATCGTTCTGTGCTAATCTGACAATGTACAAGTTGGTACTGTTATCTCAAGCTGTAGGCATTGCTGCACTGATGGTGCTGAATTTTATCAATTGATTTCATTTTGCCCCATTCTTCCCATTCTTATATGTTGTGCCTTTTTTAGGTCAATTTTTTGAAGTTCTAATTGGGGCAAGACCAGAACCATTATGGAGGCTGCTTAGTAAGGTTGGAATGCTGTATGCCCTTGAGCCACTTTTAACTGTTACTTTCGTTATAAACATGAACATAATGTGGGAAAAGATTATGTCAACACTAAGAGCTCAAATTTTTGGGAGGATATTGATGCAAAAGGTAAGCTTACTTTTACAGTTTTCCAGTTCAGTTTTATTGGTGTTATATTCCTAAATACTTTTGAATTTAGCTCTTTCATATGTTATGATGTTCTGGATAAGTTATTCATTATTCAATAGATCTTTCAAGGGAAACATTCCCTTACATGATTGACATTTTCCATTTAATTGAAAGAGGAGTATGAAATATTAATCTTGGAAATGTGCAATTATTATTTGTTTAAACAGATACCTCAGATAAATTTGTTTTCCCATGATTATACCATAAACATACCATGTTATTTTTTCCCCCTTTTTTGAAGGCACTTCTGTATTAGGGTATGCAATTGGACTGATGCTTTCTGTGATAATATTCTTTAAAACATATGCTGGTATTGTAGATAACATAAAAAACCATTGATGCCTTGCCTAATGCATTGGCAATAATATTGGAACTTCCATATTTATGAATTCAACTTTGGCTGATTATAACTTTTGGTTTAAAGTTATACTATTGTTAGCTTTAATGGTGAATTCTGATGTGAAAAAGAAGTATATGGCTTTTTAATAACATATTTGTTCCTTTAATTCGTGCAGGTGGAGTTTTTTGACAGATACAAGGTATGCATGTTAAATTACTTAATCTGGTTTTACTTTTTATGTTATGAGTCTATGAGAAATTTAAATGATAGGAATATGTTTGGTTTACATTTTTTTTTTTTTTTATATGATTTTCTTGTTAAGTACTCTATTGTGATTTTGTCTTTCTTTTCTCTGTTTTTGTATATCTTTCTGTTGTCCTGTCCTCTCTCTGATCTCTTTCAATAATTTCATCAATTTTTCTTTTCCATTTTATTAGTATAATTATATATCTTCAGACATTTTATTAACATGATTATTTTCTCCATGTGTTGGATTTAATAAACTGAGAATACTTGAGCAAAATTTTTCATTTGCTTGCATTTGCTCCATATAGGTTGGTGAACTCACCGGTTTGCTAACATCTGATTTGGGTTCTCTTAAAGATATTGTGAGTGAAAATGTTGCAAGGGATCGTGGATTCAGGGCATTATCTGAGGCAAGCATTTCTACACCAATCAGAAGTGAGCTTTATTTTTCCTATATTTAAGCATGTGCATGATTCTTTTGTCTTGGTTGCAGTTGACTTTCCTTCATTTCAAAAAAGCATGTAAATGTTTTATATGACCATAATTAAATGTTTCTGTATGAAAGAACTGGTATCCTATATAACCTCAGCTTTTGTCATTACTACTTTACTTTTGTAAGAGTGTTTGTATGTGTGTGTTTTGGTGAAGACTCTGATGTGCTTTTGTTTTCATGTTGCTTCTCACTTTCTTTTGTTGTAATTGCACTTTCTCTTTTCTTTGTTGTTACAGGTCATTGGGACAATTTGCATTCTTTTTGCTTTATCACCTCAACTTGCTCCAATTTTGGGTATCCTAATGCTCACAGTTTCTGTTTCAGTTGGTAATACTCCCATGCTCACCTTTCTTTTAAATGATATCAACTTAAGGCCAGGCTGACATTTTATGTTCTGGTGGTTTTATCTTTAAGTGCGGAAGTAGTGGAGAGTAATAACTATGCTTTTCCATCTTTCTTAAATCTTAAGAGAGCATTGCAAGTAGCTTAATTATGCAACCCTGACAAATCTGATGTAGCTCAAATTAAGAATGCCTCATGATATGGAATACTTTTGGTTCATGCCAATGTTTATTTTTCTTCCTTTCCTCTCCGCTTGCTGATTCCTTTTAGTGTTTTCAAGCTGTCTACAAGAGATCAACTCTGCCGGTTTTTAAAGCACATGGGTTGGTTCAAGCATCCATATCTGACTGTGTAGCAGAAACATTTTCTGCTATTCGTACAGTGAGTTTCCAACAGTTCAGATTTGTGTAATAAAACCTTTGTCTTGTGGAGTGATGCTTTTTTTAAGGCCATGATTTGTTATTGATGGTTGAAACAATGCCATATATGATTACAGGTAAGATCCTTTGGTGGAGAGAAACGCCAAATGTTTACATTTGCTAACCAGGTAAGTTATTCATTGCATTGACTAATCATTATTGTCAAGAAGATATGACTACTTCGAATTCCTTTGTAAAAAATAAATAAGAACAAACTATGAGATGGCTGCAGGTTCTTTCTTACCAATCAAGCGGGATAAGGCTTGCCACTTTTAAATCTCTGAATGAGTCCATGACTAGAGTTGCTGTTTATGTTTCTTTGCTGGCATTATATATCCTTGGAGGAAACAAAGTTAAAGCGGTGAGTAATTCTAGCTTTCTCTTATCTATATATGATGATTTTTGGTGAACTTTTTCTACTGTAATTAATCTTGCTGGTGATAATCACTTTTGCTATACCCAAAGAAAAAAAAGTTATTGATGCACTAACCTTTTGACAATGTCATGTCTGGTTTTTCTCATTTATTTTTTTATTTTTATAGCATTTTTCATATTAAAATTATGATTTTTTTGGATAAATTGATTGACTGACTGATTTTTCTATATTGCTTTATTGCTTACAGGGTGAACTCTCTGTTGGAACTGTGGCGTCTTTTATTGGATACACTTTCACATTAACTTTCGCTGTAAGTGGATTGAGCTGTTGGCTTGTTGCATTTCTTTATCTTTCAATCCTCTCTGTGTTTCCTCATAGTATGTCTTTCAGGTTCAAGGAGTGGTTAATACTTTTGGAGACCTACGTGGAGCTATTGCTGCTGTTGAGAGGATTAACAATGTTTTCTCTGAGGTTCAAATTGATGAAGCCCTTGCTTATGGCTTAGAAAGAGAACTGAAACAGAACAAATTGGATGATGATAACTATAAACTGTTCTTCTCTGATAATTCTACTGAAGAAATCCAACAAAAATACTTGCATTACATGTCAGCATTGAAATCCTCAAGCAATGTGTACAGCTTAGCTTGGTCTGGAGACGTTTGTCTTGAAGGTACTTTTCTCACAATAATGTAACTTTAGTTTCTTAGTTGCTTGGCTTTCAATATATGGCTTTTAAACATGGTAAGCATGGTCATATTATTCATTATATGACCTTGTATACCAATGTTCATGTGATGGGAGCTCTTTCCATTCTTTGTCCTTCTCTTACCTTTCTTTATTTTCTCCTAGTTATCGGATGAACTTCCAAATCATTGTGACTATGCATTTGAAGTATCTCTTTGAGGGATTTTCTGTTATGATTACTTTATGATAATCATTATGTTAAAACTCCGTAAACACATTCTTTAAGGGATTGGAATTAGAGGAAGGGCTTTAAAATCAATATTCAATTTTAATTTGCTTTTTATATTCTGATATGAGATGCTTGAGTTTCTCCTTCAATTTCTCTCTCTCTTTCTAATTCTAACACCTCTTACTTCAAGTTTGAGAATGAGTTGTGTCAACTAGTGCAAATTAATTATCATAGTAATATGAGAGTTGATTTACTTTTTCATATGTAGATTGTTCTATAATGTGAATTAATATTCTGATATTGTTTTGCAGATGTGTATTTCTCTTATCCTTTAAGGCCAGATGTGGAAATCTTAAGTGGCTTAAATTTAACACTAAAATGTGGAACCATAACTGCATTGGTGGGTTCCAGTGGTGCAGGAAAAAGTACAATAGTACAGCTGTTGGCTCGTTTTTATGAGGTTTAATTCCTGTTTCATTAGTTTGTGAAATAAGGCTTAATTTACTTCAATGTCCTAAAAGAAATCAACTGATCTTTTGCTCCTGTAGCCAACAAAGGGTCATATAACAGTTGCTGGAGAGGATGTTCGATCATTTGACAAGAGCGAATGGGCTCGGGCTGTCTCTATCGTAAATCAAGTATGATTTCTTGAGAAGGAAAAAGAAAGGATTATCATGTCTGGTATGAACAAGATTTCTTCTAATCCACTGATGATGTTAACATGATATAGGAGCCTGTTCTGTTTTCGGTGTCTGTTGGAGAAAATATTGCATACGGGCTTCCAGATGATAATGTTTCTAAAGAAGATGTAATCAAAGCATCAAAAGCTGCAAATGCTCACGACTTTATACTTTCACTTCCACAGGTTTATTTTGTTTTCTAGACATGCTGATGCTTAGTGCTTACTATATTTATGACTAAGGAATATTTTTAACGAATTTCCTTTCCTTCCATATTTTTCTTATAGGGTTATGATACACTAGTTGGTGAGCGTGGAGGCCTACTAAGTGGGGGACAGAGGCAGGTATAGAGTACACATAGATAAAGGGTTTGTTTAATTTCTAGTTTCAAAAACTGTTTTTTTTTAAACAAAGAAGTAAAAAAAAAAACAAAGAAAGAAAAGAAATCATTTGGGTAAGTGTATTGGATTTAAATGGTCTAGAAAAAAAAGCTGTTTGGAAACATCTTAGTATACTTGAGGTTAGTTTATTTCATCCAAATTACTTAAGCCATTTGTTTTTTTTTTTTTTTTTGCCAATAGCTTAAACCATTTGATTAGATACATCCCGAGCTCCATATATTCTTAAATTGTTTTCTAATTATTTGATGTGGGACTTCTTTATCTCTGATACTTGGAGCTGTTTTTTTTTTTTTTTAAAAAAAATACACTACATTTGACTATTGTAAGTTACTTTCAATTATAACTAACCACTATCATAGGCCATTACCATTAACTACCGATGACCACCACTATCAACCGGTTTTTTTAACTCTAAAATTATTTTCAAATCATCGTAACCAAACATAATTTCATTTTGTTTTTATTCTGAAAAAAAAATTAAAAGTTAATTTAGAAAATAGCTTTTAAAAACAAAAAATATGAACAAAACCAAACAAACCTAAATATTCCTGCAGGCACAAACTTTCGCTCTCGTAGGAACACATTATAAGTCTTAACTGTAGTGTTTATTTTCTGCAGAGAATAGCTATTGCACGAGCACTCTTAAAGAATGCCCCAATCCTTATACTTGATGAGGTTTTCTTTTACCTTTCCTTTCCTTTTCTTTCTTTTGTATGCTTCTATATGCAGTTTCCATGATTCAGCTACTGCTGTGTCAGTATCTATCTGAATCTGATCCTAAATATGATCCTGATTTAATGTTTTATGGCTCAGGCCACCAGTGCCTTAGATGCAGTTAGTGAAAGGTTGGTCCAGGACGCTCTGAACCATTTGATGAAGGGGAGGACAACGTTAGTGATAGCTCACAGATTGAGCACAGTTCAAAATGCTCATCAAATTGCACTCTGTTCTAATGGCAAGATTGCAGAACTTGGAACACACACTGAGTTATTGGCTAGGAAAGGCCAATATGCTTCACTGGTTGGCACTCAAAGGCTTGCATTTGAATGAATAATGAAGCTATTGATATTTTCATTTATTCAAAATTACCTCCCTAGCTTTTGAGGCATGTAGGAGCTGGATGCTGTATCCGCATGGTAGCTTTTTATACAAATGAAGTTGTCTTCTTTACAAGCGGAGAGAAGTTCTCTTGATATGCGTAGTCAAGAAAGAAAATGGAGTAACATAACATCCCAAGAAAGTAGGACACACTTAGGACTCAAATGAAGTTGTCTTCTTTTGAGGCATTTAGGACTTAAAAGTGTGGGTTGACCTTAAAGAGGACACAATTAAATATTAGGCCTAAGAGAGTAGGACACTGTAACATCGTATTTTATGACTTAATCTTAGTTTGGATGGAGAGAAGTGAGAAGAAAATAAAGAAGACAGAAAATTAAGAGAAATTTCTAAAACTATTTTTTTAAATATTTTTAAGAGTTTTCTTTTTAAATTTTTTTCTTTTTACTTTTCTTTCTATCTACACGAAGGGTTAAAGTGTTGGATGTGATTTTAAAGAAGATATAGGATTAAATATTAGACCTAAAAGAGTAGAGGGTAGGATGAAATGAGGGCAAAATTAAATTATCCACTATTTGAATTTTATCTTATAAAATAAAATATTAAAAAAACATGAGATTTAATAGTGAATTAAATGGAAATTAATAATCATAAATTGTTATTAATACGAACGCACACATTTGCAATGGAAGGTAAGATAAAAATTACCTTTTTTGTATTTTCAAAGGTAAAAAAGTTTTAGTTAGTAAGATAAAAAAAGCAAATTGAGTTTAAATTTTATAAATTATAAAAAGTTTTAGTTAGTAACCTAAACCTAGTTTTCATCTCCTATTCTCTCATTAGCCATCACACCCAAGGTCTAAACTCATCAATTCTCCAAAGTCAAAAAAAAAAAAAAAAACAAAAGAAAAGAGAGAGAGAAAGAATCAACAATTGTCTCTTTGTATTTTACTCCCTCTTTATTTTCTCTCATACGGCACCTCCTCTCTTCCGTTTTGTCCTTTCTTTCCTCCTTCATGTTTTGTCTTCCTTCCCACTTAAATAAATCACGTATAGGAGGCCTTTTTATTTTCAAATGAATTGTATGGCTTCTCTTTATACAGGGTATTTCAACCAAAACCCAATAGCGTGTGTGTGTTTAAATTATGAGTTTAATTAATGTTTAACATATATTTGACTATATATTCTAAGGAATTAATTAAATTATAAAGGGGTATGAATTTTAAGGATTTTGAGTTCTTCAGGATAGTTTTAAAGTAGCTTTAGAGTAACTCTAGACTAGTTTTCTAGTCACATTTTTGTAGATGTTTGTGCGTCTGTGTTTTTCTTTTTCTCTCTTTCTTTTTTCTTTCTTTCTTGCTTTGTTTTTTTTTTAATTTTTGTAAACTCTCGTTGAGAGCTTATCTTGCTAGGAGTAACTCCTGTGACTGTCTGTGTAAGTTGAGCAACAGGAAACTCTAGTTACTCCCATATATATATATATATATATATGCGTGCGCAAACTATATGTCATGTTTTATTACATAAATATGTGTCGGGCATGTATGCTTTACTGTAGCCGGGAACAAATCATGTTAACAATTATCTATATAATGTGCGTGGATTGTGACTGCTGATATGAATATATACAGGCTTAATTCTTTCAAACATCTTCTCGTTACATGTTAAGTTATAAAATCCTTCCATATAATATATTCTTAATTTTTTTTAAGCATTCTTGTGAATTTTTATAATGATGTTTTGTCTCTCTTTTCAAGTATACTTGCACGAGCCTTAATAATTAAATGTTTACATGTCATGCATTATTGGCGGGCTAAGGAGATATGGATTTGACTATGTGGTTAACCACCACTTTGTGTCTAGTAGTTGGCCTCTTGTAGGGCACCCTCTTACTCAATATTTGGCTGATTTTGTAATGGAGAAACGTGAGATAATGATACCTCTTAATTTAATCCTTTGAGAAGGGGATCTATAGTATGGACTTGGACTCTATGCTTTTGGTTGGGTATATCTCAAACACTAGAGATCTTTGACCAATCTATTGTGTGGGCTAGATAATGAAAAAGCTTATAGTTTTAATCAGCATAGTATAACGTTGAATTGAGTAACAAGGGAGATTGCACTTATTGTACATGAACATGCTAGAATTGTACAGTGTGATGATTCATATTGTTGATTGAGAAATATGAATGTAAATGCATGTATACCTATATTATCATTTAGTGCTTGGTTGTGGTTTGTTTGTGTATGATAGCTTACTATGTTATTGGGATATTTGTACTCACTCCTTTCTTTTAACAATTTTCAGGTGTAGGATCGAATAAGAGGTAATTAAGGGAAGGCATTGAAGGTGTAAGCTATCAGATTGAGTACTAAGCATTTAAACATTGATTTGATTTAATTGTGAACTTTGAAAGTTTATGAAAATTTTAATAAATATTAAATAAGACAAGATGGAACCTTGGACTATTTATCATATCTAAGCATGTGACTTGTAGTCATGTTAGGTTCAAGCCTCAAATTGATAGTAATGATTTGTTTTAATGAGGTCATGCCTCCACAATGTTATCAATATAATTTACGGCTGGAATGGAGTACCTAGCCCTTTGTGTCATATGTTTGGAGATCTCATCCTGATATACTTTTATTGCTAAGTGTTTAGAATTCTAAAGTAGGTGTTACAGCCAACAAATGTTAGCCCATTAGTAAAGATTTGGTCTATAATCTACAAGATTGTGGATTCAAATTTGCTATTGTGAGAGGACCTTGTTAATAGATAATTTGTAAATATATCTATAAATGCTTTTTGAACTTAAAGATATGTCATGACTCGGGTGAAGTCTCGATACCCAACTCACCTATGCTTTTCATATGCACAATATATATATATATATATATAGAGAGAGAGAGAGAGAGAGAGTAGGTGTTACAAATGAAACTATGATATATGACTATATGTCATAGGCTCATAGTACAAGAAGTTGGAGAATATAGCGAAAGAGAATTTCATGGCCTAGACAGGAAGAACGACTTCTCTTTGCCTAGTCTGTCCAATAAAAATGAATTAGTACAACCCACTATGGAACTCGTTTGTGCTTAGAGACTACCATTACAATAACACTTTCCCACAAATTCAGGAGTTATGCTTCTGGATTTTTCATTTTCCACACAAATTCAGGAGCCTATCATTACACTCTATTTTCCCTACTATTTCTACGTTCTAAATTTAGAACATTCCACATTGGCCAGCTATTATTTATCCCTTTTCTTTACTTTCAGGGCTGATAGGTAGTTAGAACTCAATGTAATTGTTATCTGTTGTACATTGCAAGTCGTCATTTTGATACCTCAAACTATTATGATTTGAAATCATTTGGCAGTTACTTTCATACCAAAAGACCTTTTTTTAAAAAAAAAAATTAAGAATGTGGCAAAACTATGACTCTTTTAGTATTTGGAACAATCTTTTCCCTTCTTGTATTTAGACAACAACTTAAGGGATAGAAAAAGGTTATAACAAAGGTCAAAATTTATGACATAATGAGAAAATTATGATGACTTAGAAATGATGATCAAAGAATTGAGCTCTGCTAGGCACTCAGTTGGAAGGCCAAGGAAGGAATTCATGAAGAAATCATGAATGGGATCAACTGTTGCCACACCAACAAGTTTGCATTTGCCTTCTTCATTCAGTCTTTTGCCTCTTCCACTTTTCATAGCTCCTTTTGATTCCTCAGATGTCAGCACTGTCTTCACCAGCAAAGGAGGAGCCTTGTAGACACTCCCAGCAGAAAACAAGAACTTGGCCTTGAATTCAAGGTCAACCTTTAAATAAACAACATCAACAATATTAATTGCCAATTTTATAGCTTATCACAAAGACTAAGAAAAAAGGGGCAATTTAGAACCAATATTTTAAAATCTAAACTTTATGACAAACCGAAAGAGCAGGTCACGATTTTCATGATTTAACTGATTTGATTGGTAATTAAACCAGTGACATAATAATTAAATAATATATATATATATAATATTAAAAATGTCAATAATATTTTAGAGTTGCTCAATCATAACATATTAAATTTTAATTTCCTCATTTTTTTTCTAATTTGCTTTTTTAAAGAAAATAAGTTTTCAATTTTCTCTATAATTAATTTATAGAATGCCAATGAATAAATCATGAATTCAAAATTTCACTATAACAATCTAGAGGAAAGTTAACATTAATAATTTTAAATTGAATAAAAAATTTATTATTAAAATAAGAGTAAAAAGAAAAAAGGTTCAGAATGATCCGATTCTCAATATGAGTTAACAAGTCAAATCAAGCCATTTTGTACCTGGTAACAATCTAATGTGTTAAAACACTGTTTAGAACAGGCTCAGCTTTGTGATGTTAAAGTAGTTTACCTTGCCAGATTGCTTGTTGATGATTCCTTGGAAGACGAGAGGGACAATATCAATCTTCAGAAATGGTGGCAATGGCAAACCCAAGAACTTGGTTGTAGAACTTGTCAATGGTGGAATATACAGAGTCTCAAGATCAAATGAAACAAACAGTTCGCTGTCAGCTACGTTGTCTTTGTTTCTTACCTTATCCCCAGATCCTGTTCCTCTTCCTCCTTGTGCATTATACTCAAAATCAGGATACCTTGAAATCCCAAGTCTGCAATCCCTCTCTGTACTGAAACTAACAGTATAACTGTTAGCCTTGGTACTTGGAACTTCAAGATCTGTGATTGAATATCTGATCCTCTGTAATTTGTCGCTGAAAGAGAATGAAGAAGAAGAAGAAGAAGAAGAGAAGAATAAATATTTTGTTCTAAGCTCTGGTTTGCTAGGTTGAAATTTGCAGAAAACTGGTGAGGTTGAGGGGTTTAATTTACAACCCATCGTTGAGTTCTGAAAATATGATCTGTTCGGAAGTTTCATTCATGCTGCGGAAATACCAAAAGCTGAGGTTGGGTTGTGTTTTGGGGTATGAATCTTATCTTCTTGCGTGTGAGAGATCTTAACATTGTGGAATCTGAAAGTAGCACCTGGCTCTTGAGCTGGCAAGACAAAACTCTGGGTCCCATTTGAGGGGGAGTGATCAAAGAGAGGCTTGGATTGTTTTCTGGCCACTTAATTTATTTAGATAGTTTCACTCTTAAATTGTTTAACAAAAGTGAGCATTATATTTTTAATTGATTTTTTAAAATTTATCTTTATTTTACAATAAAATAATTTTTTAATATCATAAAATGCCATTTAGAGTGTTTAAAGTGGAGATGAGAGTGGTGTTATTATTGCTTCATGAATGCAGGAAACAAAACAAAAAACAAAAATTTTGAATGAAAAGTCATTCATAGATATCAAAAGATTACAAATCAGAGAACATTAAAGTGATCATTTATTTGTCCTTCCTCATCTTAACATGAATTTGTTCTACTTTGATTAGATATATTTAATAAAATATAAATTTAGAAATGTTTGAGACATTAAACTCATTTTTTATGTAATATTCTCTTTTAATTTTGTTAAAAAAGATGTAATTTATCTTTTATTATTAATAAAAATTAACTTTAAATATTTATTGACTAGAAAACAAACATAAAAAATTATTAAAAAAAGAACAAACAAAATTTTCTTAATTATTTTCTATAATATTTTGGATTCTTGTCTGTAATTTATGGTTTCTTTACTTTAATACTTTATCATTTTCTATTCATTTATAAGCCAATTTATTCTTTTACCCTTTCTTAAAAAAATATATATCAATGAGCTTTATTTTTTCAGAAGAAACTTCCAATATTGTGATTTCACTTCTTCTATACTTATATGAGATTATTGAATTAAAAACAAGTAGATTTCACACCCCTAGCAATGTTCGGATATTATTAACCTTATGTTTGGTTGGATTTAGTAGACTGTGGAGGGAAGAGTTGGAAAATTTTGAATGAATTCAATTTTTTTAAAAAAAATATGATAATTGATGTTAAATTTTTTTTAATAAAGATAAGATGTGAGGAAAGAATAAGTAAAATTAATTAAGAATTTTAAAATCACTTCTCCATTTTTCAAATAGAAGGTATTAAATTTTTTACCAGCTGCTGTTTCATTCTCCTCCAACCAAATATGAGACAAAAATTAATGGGAGGATGACATTGATAGCCCTCAAAAGAAACATTATTACGTTTTGAGCCTATAAAACTCTGAAATTTCTCTGTAAAACTCAAATAAAATTATGTTTCAAGGTTATTTTGTGAAGCTCGATAACTGGAGTTTGTGATATGAAAATTTTAAAGTTATTTTGTAAATTTTTGAATTGTAATTGTAAAGTTAGTAAATATTAATTATTAATGTAGACTGTGTCTTTGTAAATTTATAAAGTGGTTATAATTTGATTTACATAAAACTTTAATGGATTAATGCGTTTGTTTTGACATATATTGTGAATACTATATTTTTTCTGAATATTTTTTAATTTAATAAAATTAATAATAAATAACAAAAAATATATAAAAATATAAAAATAAAATGTAATCCTTCTTAAGATAATATTTTCAAAATAAAAAAATTTAATTTAATTGATAGGGCTTAATTTTATTTTAAATAATTCTTTTTTTGTTAGAATTTTATTTCTTTTAGTTTATTAAAATAAACAAAAAAATATAAAAATATAAAAAAATTAATCTTTTTTAGGATTATATTTTTAAAAAATATTTTCTTAACTCAAAATCAAATTTTTAAGTCCCTTAATTCAATTTTAAAAATTAATAAACATAATTTAAAAAAAGAGTTATTAAGATTAAAATATATAAACGTCTGGACCTTCATTCGTGCAATGCACGTTACAACACTAAGAGAAAAGCAAAAGAAACAGAAACATGCAGCAGCAACACGCAAAGAAAAAAAGTAGATGCAGAACGAGAAGAAACAAAGACAAGAAAAGAGAACATGCACACACATACACTTTCGACCAGGCGTAAAAGAAGCAAAACAGAGCAGAAGGAGCAGCAAGCAACCGGAACACATGCACATATGCTTTTGGCCAGCAGGAGAAAAGAAACAGAACCAAGGATGCATGCATGCATGCAGCAGATGAAAACACAGAAGAAAGCACTCACACAGCAGATGGAACAACAGAGAAAGCAGACGGAACAGTAGAGAAAAAGTGAGAAGAAATAGAGACAGAAAAGCAAAACACACAGCCATGCATGCACGAAAAAAATGCTAAAAAAACAGATCACGAAAAAAAAAAAGCAGAAAAGGAGAGAAAGAGAAGCCGAGAGGGAGAGATCGACAGTATAAAACAGAGATAGAAAGAGAGTAACAGATGGAGACAGAGGCACGAGAGTTTTCTGAAAAAGAGACTGAGAAACCAAAAAAACAGATGCCGAGAAGAGAGAGACCAAGAGGGAGAAACAAGGATGAGAAAACAGAGCAAAAAACTAGTGCAGCAGACCAAGGAGAAGAGCACGAAAATGAGAGAAAAAAAATTAGAACGAGAGGAGAGACATCTAGAAGGAGAGATGAGAATAGAGTAACAGACGAGTAGGGAAAAAGAAGGCAGGAGGAAGGAAGAGCATGAGAAATAGAGATAGAGAAAAGAGAACAGAAAACAGAGCATAAAAGACAGAGAAGAAGATAGAAAGAAAGTGACGAAGAGAAGAGTGCGTCTGGAGAGGGGAAGGAAGAGACCAAGAGACAAGTTTTTCCTTAAAAAAAGGGAGACAGAGGAGACTGATCAGAGGGAGTTTTCTAATGAAAAAAAAAAACAGAGACAAAGAGAAGAAGATAGAAAGAAAGAGACGAAGAAAATGGTTTACCTTTGAGATTGAGAATGCAGAAGCAGAGGAAGCAACCCGAGACTAATTGAGTCAAAGTTTGAAGGAGAAGAAGACATCATTCGGTATATTCATTTTTTCTTCTTTCTCTTAATGATCACTGCTGGTTTATTGCTGAATGAACAGGATAAATTATGCATTATGTTCATATGATTTGCCTTGCTTTATGATGAATAAAATTAAGTCTTGGATTGAGTTTCTGATTAAGGGTTATTTCACATTCTAATAGTTGACATGTTGTTAAGGAACTTTCAAGATTTTTGATTAAAGGATTATTTAGAGTTGTCTTGTAATTTATAACTTCGAGCTAGTGTGTGCTTGTAAGTGTGGTTTAGGAGAACCTTTTTGAGTTTTAAATATTGCGAGTTCTGATTCTTACTGCAACATGTGGCTAGATACTATACATGGAGAAATCCTTTAGGGAAATTTTACTTATTGTCTTAACTGAACTGGTATGATTTTGGCATAATCTCATTATAGTGATAGTTCCAACGATAAAAAATTAGTGCAATTGTTAGGCAGAGTTTTCGAATTAAACTTTAAATATGTTTCTAATATGAAAGGGCATATTAATATGTAGGAGCATGATTTTTCATCTCTATATTAGTCTTAAGGTCCTTTACTTGTCTATAATATTGTTACACTCATACTGTATGGCACTTTCCATCAACATGTACAATTTCAATTATTATGATGAGCCTATTTTATAAAAGGTTAAGAGGAGAGAATTTGATTCTTATATAAAAAAAGTGAAATGAATAAGAGAAGATTTCTTTCTAATTATTTACTTATTGTGTGAGATTTTAAAAATTTTTGCAGGCATTTAAAATGATCTCATATCATGTAAATCAATAAGAGTTCGCAGGTATAGAGATTCAATTTATATAAAGTAATCAAGGGTTTCAATGACCCACCGTTAAAATTAATTATCTTTTTATAATCTAAATAATTTATTTAAGTTCCATGTGAGATTTCAAGAATCTTCATAGGGACTTGAATTAATCACATTACCATGTGGGATAATAAATCCTTGCAGATATAGTGATTCTCCATTTCTATAATAAATAAGTGATTTTTGTACATAGTCATATAATAGAAAAATAATGAATTTAAGTTGTAATCATATTTACTGATTATATCTTTTAGTCATGTGAGATTTGAATCTCCGTAGACTTCTAAGATAATCGTATTATCGTATGAGTTAATAAGACTCTGTAGATATAACAATTAAGTTTTTTAAAAAAATATATATATATATATATATATTATATTAAATTAATCAAATTAAGGATGTATTTAAATAAATTTAATTCCTTTATTGTGTGACATTTAGGAATCTCCGCAGATATTTAGAATAATCATATTATCGTATAAGTCAATAAGGCTTTGCAGGTATAATGATTAAGATTCTTTAAAAACATATATGTATATGCTTAAAAATATATATTAAATTACTGAATTCTTTTATCATGTGAGATTTTGAAATCTCTGCAGATATTTAGAATAACTGTATTACCATATGAATCAATGAGGTTCTGCAGGTATAGCAGCTAAATTTCCAATCATAAAACATAAAAGAAAAATAATTTTAAACTCTTTTCTTTCTTTATTTTAAAAATTCAAAAATTGAGAAAATAATTAAATTTAAATTACTTTTGGCAATTTAAAACAAACATATCAAAATTTCAGAAATTATTTTATTTGCAAAATAGTGAATTATTTTTAATTAATTTATCTTCAAAAAATATTTTCACTAATAATTTTCAAGCCCGAACTACGTGGACTTTAATCCCCATCATAGAGTACGTAGGCCTCAGAGTCAGATTCTAAGTCAAATCCTCCCTTGTAAATAAATAAACATTTTTCACCTAATTCTTATCATTTTTATATCAAACACATGAATATAAAAGGAATAATTAAAATAATTTTAAAATCATATTAATATAGCATAATAAACTTCAGGTAATCGTTCTCATGAACGAGTATTGTGGGGTGGCTAACACCTTCCCCACACTCAACTAACTCCTGAACCTATTTTTTATTTTCGTAGACCATCCATATCCTCCTTTAACTGGCTTCCCAAGATTTCCCTCAAAATCTTGGTGGCGACTCCTCATTCCGTCCAGTTCCTGCCGTGAAGGCTAGGACCTTTACCCGTGCACCATCTTTGTCGCATTTTTCCAGGTGCGATAGTTGGCGACTCTACTGGGGACTATTAAAGAGTCAAGCCTATAAGTTTGTTGTGCTCAAAATATAATATTTT